GTCCGAGGTGTGGAGTGGATCTCGCTTCACGTGGAATGTAAAAGATGTTACAGAGAGAAATTATAACAATTACTATAATAATTATTCATTTATATTTTCAGTTAATGGATACATACTAGACATTACTTCAAAAAAAGCATCTAATCGTTCGTCAAAATCATATACTTGTTTAAACATAAACTCTGCTAAATAGTGATGAAAATGGTATTCTCTACGACCGAATTGAGGAATACTTCTACGAATATCTCTCCATACCCGTTCAATATTTTGGGTATGAACACCCGTAATTTGATCGACAAAATTGCTGCTGTGGTTGACTACGTCATGTTGATATAGGTTCTTGTCAATTTTTCCATACGTTTTCCAACAATCGTTGTAGATTATTGAACCAGGAGCAATGTGTTTTTGTATTAATGGCAAAAGAACCTCTGCGTTGCGAGATGCCACTGGCACGACAAACATCTTTTTCGTGTCCCGCTGTACCCCACCAAAAAGCCATTGTCCTGTTATCAAGCGCCCGCGAAGGTATTTTCGACGTCCGAATTTAGCCTCATCAATTTCGACGATGACTCCATTTCCACCGATTTGACCTTGTTTGTGTGTCAACCATTGATTCATGAGCTAAAAAATTTTGCAATTACATATCATAGATGGTAATTTACGAATAAGATCATTATAAATTACATAAATTAATTACCTCTCGGCAAAAGTTAACCCAATCAACTGCTGTGTTTGGTGAGATGCCTAGTTCTTGTTCCAAAAAACTTTGTCGAGGGATATTTATCATCAGCACATAGCATATTATTCGACAAATCGTTGACATATGTAAATTACCTCTCGAAAACCACGTTTCAGTCAAAGCACTTATTTTATAATTGCAAATTAATCTCTTGCGCTTACGTCTTTGCACCTTTTTGTAATAATGTTGTGTACAGTGTAAAATTAATGGTTGCCCACCTTTCAATTCGACATTATTGCAACGTGGACACTTAATTTTTTCACGTATAACATTCTTTGTACACAAATACTTTAACAATTCGTCGTAATTTGTCGTTAGAGCGAGAAATTCGTAAAATTTCATTTTCCCACAATCTATTGATACGAATGGTAGTGTACGATAACTTGTCGTATACTGGCTCATTTCCCCTGCTGTATAGTCTCACAGTCGCAAGAAATATCAACAACAACATTTCCGAGGTGTGGAGTGGATCTCGCTTCACGTGAAATGTCGCAAACCCATATGGAATCGTATATGTAAATACTACAAAGTACATGCTTAGATGAGAGGACAGATATAAGATTTAGAGTCAATCATTTTTCTTGAAAACTATCACTCGTACAGTAAAAATGAATAGGACGTAAAATGCATATTTCAAAGAGATCTACAACTGGGGTGGGGGCGGGGAGGGGAATGGAGCGGGGAGAGGAGGGGGAGGGGTGGGAGGGGGTGGGGCGCGCGCAGCGCGCCGTGCTAAACGCGCTTGCAACTTACGTGTTTATGAAATTTTTTAATAACTTTTTAACGAACCACGAGCGACGGCTAAAACCTTCTAAAGGTCACTCAGGGTCATGACCTTGACAACATATGTCAAGGTCATCGAAATTGGAGGGTGGTCCGTTATTCTATATAATTACCGAATTTTGTAATGACTCTCTTAGTATCGTTTTCATTCAACAACTTTAACTTTAACAAAGCGATGTTTGCAGATTTCTCTAGGATTTCATGATTTTGTTTCCTTTTACAAGATTTTAAAATATATGTACTAATTGATTAATTTATATCTCTTTCTGTATAGCATACTCTCTTGCTTGCACAATATTTCTTCAATATTTCCCATAAAATAACAAGTCAAAATATTTCTTTAAATATACATATAATATGGCACCCTGCCGATAATATAAAACCTTCAATATCTTAAAAACAATTAGCTGCACTTTATACATGACTGCTGCAATTTGTTTATTAGTCACTAGTTTTGTGATAACAATAGAGTAAAAATGCTTTGTGTTTTTTGTCGATATTAGAAAGGTATATAAAATTTTTTTTATTTTTGACTGTTCGTAATGAACTTTTAGTGCTAGACACTTTATCTATACAGGGTGTTATGTAATACCCGCTTCACCTCTTATTTATGAATAGAGCGGACTAGACTGACAATGAGTCAAACAGTCCTCTACCATTTTACAATTTTTGCAATAGTTATCGAGTTATTAATTATTAAAAATAGCTGTCTTGGCTCGGTCTACCGCCCAATTCAAGCTTGCAGCGAGATGCGGCTGTTCCGCAATTGGCATTGCTAGGCGTGCGGGGAATTGTTTATGACATACAGCACGGCTACGTATAATAAACAACTCTCGGCGCGCAACACTGTTCACGGGACGGCCACATATCGCTGCACGCTCGAATTGTGCGGTAGGCCAGGCTAAGATAGCGGTTTTTAATATTTAGTAACTCGTTAACTATTGCGAATATTGTAAAATGGTACAGGACTTATTGACACATTGTTAGTCTAGTTCGCTCTGTCCATAAATAAGAGGTGAGGCGGGTATTACATAACACCCTGTATAACGTTATCTAACATTTTGACGCATTTAAGCATATTTAGTCCTCTTTGTTTTTTGTAAGTCGCTATTGTTGTCAGAATAAAATCATGATGTTTGCATTATGTATCTCCAAGGTAGCTGTGGGTTCAATGTCTCATGTGTGGTCTCTGAGCTCACAATGAGTACGTAGGAGCTGAAAAAAGGAATACATTTGCGATTTTTGCTAGTAAAGGTAAAAATTCTTTCTCGTTTCTTTTTTAAATGATTTTAAAAATTATTTTTTACAATAATAGTAATTTATTTTCCATTATATGTGTATTCCTTTACAACATCCCTTTTAATAAATAAAATACTTTTTAAATTATTCTACGTTTTATGAATTTTGTTTCATGCAGTTAAAAAGTAGAAAGTTCATATTACTAGTACATTAGAAATATCTTACCACTCAATTGCTCACTTTTTCAATTTTCTTTATACAGCTTATTTATAAGTGGAGAATCATGAATTGAAAGTTAGAAATGGATTGTCAATAGAACGTGGAATCTAAGCATACCAGGATTAACGAAATTGGACTTTCAATTTATAAGAAATTACATTTAAAAATGAAGTTTCACATTACCACCTCATCTTTTAATAAATTTTGTTCTATTTCTTGAAAGCATGATGCTATTTACTTTGAAATTAAAAAATAGCAATAATGATTATCTATTACCATATATTTTAAGGTATTCATTCAATAATATCGTGTAGTAGTATTTTATTTATTTTACTCTATTTTTACTCTACCAATACTTGCTCTGCTTTTTACTCTATCAATTGCTGCATCGTCGTGTTCGAAAATTTCTTGAAATTTAGGATCAATTTTAAATATATGTTGTAATATTAAGTAATCAAATGAGTATTGAAAATATGCCCAACTATAGATTTACATTGTTTTATGGAAAATGTATTTCTCGATAACACTAAAATGATAAAATATTAAGGAATCAAGTTTATTGCTGTCAGCGTATAATTAACAAATGTAGAGAGGATTATTAGACGACACAACTAGCAGATGGTATGAATTATTTATTTAATAGATTACATCTAACGTTTTGACCATCCGGTTATACATACGTCTTAGTAACTGATGTCTTGGTGAAGGATTTTTATTCAATTTTATATATCGACTTTGTAGTTATTAGATATGTTTTGATTTCTCAAAACGTCGGATGTAACTTATTAAATAAATAATTGGCACCCTGTGCTAATTGGGTCGTTTAATAATCCTCTCTACGATAAAATATTATTTATTTCTAAAAAAAATTGAAATTGATTCTAGATGTAAATTCTCAAAAGTTTTAAATTTATCATGTTTAACTTATCAAATACAATATTATAATAATATTAAAAATTATCCTGAAAATTATATAATAGTATTTCAAAGAATTTTATTCAACAGAGTTTTTTGAAATTTTACTATACTTTTTACTAATCATTATATTTAGTATACATCTTACTAGTAATACGTGTGGTAAAATTTCAAAAAACTTTCATGAAGTTCTTCAAAATGTCATGTCCCACGATTATATGATTTTCAGGGCAAAAATTATCTTCGTTTGCGATTTGTTGTGATATTAGTTACTATATTGAAAAATTAAAATGTCAAAATATTTATGTATAATCCAAAAATTTCAAAAAAATAATTTTAATTGAAGAACATGTTCTATTATTCAACATAAATGCTTTTTCAAAATAAACTCTTGTCCTCAAGCGTGTTCTATTTTTAAAATCAAGGGAGACATTTTAAATAATATAAATTGATGAATCTGCTCTATCTCTCTGTATACACGTGCGTGCATGCATGTGCGTAAAACACAATAATAGGACATTAAATACCAATGTTGTTGATATAAAAAAAAAAACAATATTAAATTTATAATATTGATATTGTAAATACTAAAAATACAAAAGTTTAGTACCGGCATTATTTAATATTATATATAATGTCAGTAGCTCATTAATATTATATATTATAATCTTTGTTGCAGCAACCGAAAACAAATTTGACTTCGAGTACCAAAAAAAGAGTATAGATAATAAAGATGGAGTAGAAGCGACATGTAAAGCGGAGGGTCTTTATCCTCAACCAACTCTTGATATTTCAGTCAAGTAAGACTTTGTAAAAACCGAAAATCTTGAAATCTTACAAAATTTGAAAGACTGTATTATTTGATTGTATTATATTATTACCAAAACCTTTTAATCATTTTCTTTCTGTATTATTTGTATTCATTTTTTTCTGTTTATAAATTATATTTATATTATACAAAGTTTGAATTAAATGAGTTAAGTCATAAAAATTGTAAGTATAAAATTGTAAAAAAATTAAAAACAATTGAATCTATTTAATAAAAGAGATAATTTAAATAAAATATAATATTTATATATAATAATATTTATAGAGATGTTCCAGAAAAACAAACTTTGAAACCTACAGTGACACTCCGCAAAGATGGATTGTATAATATATTATCACGAGTAGACTTTCTAGACGAAGAACTACCAGAAGCTGCAGAGCTCAAATGCATCATTGATATCCCGAGGACAAATTACAGCATGACCCGAAAAACCATTTACTATTCCGGTTAGTTATGTATCTTTTATGCTTTAATATTTACTATTTCTACTAATTGTAAACACTTATTTTTACTAACTCATCAATTTATATATACATTTTATGTTAACTTTTAACAATTGAATGTTTTGTATGATTGCGATAACTTTGACGACGAGATTTAATATTTATTTTAAATTATATTTTTTAAACAGAAATAATGCAAAAAAATTTTACATTGCAATAACTTTGGTAATTATGTACTATAACGGACCACCCTCCAATCTCGATGACATTGACATATGTTGTCATGGTCATGACCCTGAGTGACATTCAAGAAGATTTAGACGTCGGCCGGTGTTTGTTAAAAGGTTATTAACACAAAATGTTTAACGATTATGGTTTTTAATATTTACCTCGCCAAATATTAAAACTTTTGAAAAATGTTTTAAACAAAAGTTGTAGTAGGTCTCTTCGAAATATGTATTTTATCTCCTATTCATTTTTACTATACGAGTGATAGTTTTCGAGAAAAATGATTGACTCTAAATCTGATATCTGTACTCACATCTAAGCGTGGACTTTGTAGTACATATGTATATGGTTCCACATGGGTTTGCGACTTTCCACGTGAAGCAAGATCCACTCCACACCTCGGACATAGTTTGGGTTAGGGTTAGGGTTAGGGTTAGGTTAGGGTTAGGTTAGGTTAGGGTTATATCTTAAAGAAGTGGGACCCCGCATAGGGGGGCGGAACATACTGTCTCCGCGCATGTGGTACAATACAACAGTGGAAGTGCATGCCTGGGGCTCGATTCTTCAATTTATTCCAAGGAGAAACGTATGCGAAAATTCTGCTCTTACAGAAAAGTTGCAAGTTGATTGGCTATTCGTATGGCTTTAACCAATCGACTTTCAGCTTTTCTGTCAGAGCAGAATATTCGTATACGTTTCTTCTTCGAATGATTTCGAGAATCGGGCCCCTGGAGACAGTATGTTCCGCCCCCCTTCGGGGGCTCCATATCATTAAGATATAGCCTTACCCAAACCATGTCTGAGTGGTTTAATGGATCACGCTTCACGTGGAATGATTAAGAAATTACAGAGAGAAATGATAACACGTAGTATAATAATTATTGATTGATTGTGAGATGGGAAACTTATAGTCAACCCAACTGGCTAATTATTTAATTAGTTTATTACACAACGTTTCGACCCTATTCTTTTTGGTCCTTTTCGAGTGATACTGCAAATCAACAACATCAACGCAATTATGAACAATGTAGGTTACTAAATACAATGTAGGTTAATAAATAAATAAATAAATAGGATTTAGTTAAATAGTTAACGGTTCAGCAACGCACCTGAGTCAGTCATCGTCGTCGAATAAGACAGAGTCGAGTTATAAAATATATGTATACTTGTGAGCACTGTGGTGGCTGGGCTCGAACTAATTTGTTAGTCATGTCTTAAGAGCAGTACAAGGTGAGGTGAACTAAACAGTTTGGATTACACAATCATATATTACATTTAGGTTTTCGGTATCTGTTTGTAAATTAAGTGTGTTGTCGGTCTTCTTAATAAAGAACATTTTGGCGGTTTCTCTTTTTCTTCTAAAACGCTCGCAATGTAGAATTTTTGGTTCCGACCAATTAAACTCGTGATCATGAGATGCACGGTGTTTGCTGACTACGGAGTGACAACTTTCGTCGTTTCTTATGTCATTTTTATGTTCTTTGATTCTAGTCAGAAGGTGTCGTTTGGTTTGCCCGATGTAAGAGGCTTCACAGTCGTTGCAGTTAATACGATAGATGACCTCAGTTTTTTGTCCCAATTTATCTGATCTTTGACTCTTTTAATAATTTTGTCTAATTTTTTGGGGACAGTGTAAATGGTGTTTAAACCTGTTTTTTCAAATTCGTGCTAATTTTGTCAGTCCTTTAATATAGGGGAGGATAATGCTTGTTTTAGGGTCAAAAATTTTTTATTACTAGTGGCCGTGCAGTCAGTATGTGTAGTATCCCGTCTTTTCAGTTCGTTCAGTCTGGTATTTACGTGTTTGTTAATAAATTTGTTAGGAAAGGAGTTATTTTTTTATTAAGATTTTTTTAACAAGATCTATATTTTGTTTCCAGTACTTTTTGTCAGAAAGTAAAATTGCGTGTTCAACTAAGCTAATAATAGTGTTAATTTTATATTTAAGGGGGTGGCTCGAGTAATAATTAACGTATCGTCCAGAGAAAGTAGGTTTTTAGTACCATTTAGTCAAGATTGTATTATTGTCGTCTTTGATAAGTGTCACGTTAAGAAACGGGATGGAGTTGTGTGTTTCGATTTCATGAGTAAATCTCAATCGTGGGTGATAACTATTAAATATAGAGAGAACAAAGTCAATCTTGGTCATAGGTAAAATCGTGAGAATGTCATCCACGTATCTATAAAATATGGGAGCATCAAATCCTAGTTTCTGCAGAGAGGCGTCTCCAAGTCTTCCATGACCATGTCTGCCAATATAGGTGACAAAGGAGACCCCATGGGGCTTCCGAAGATCTGCTCATAGAACTGTCCGTCGAACTTAAAACTAGTGGAGTTTAGAATAAGTTCTATAGCGTGTAAGAACTGTGGTAGGCTGAGTAATGTATTGGGTGAAATGTCACTCCAACGTTTTTTAATAGCTTCAATCACAAGTTCTTTCGGGATGTTGGTGAAGAGTGATGTGACGTCCAGTGATACGAGCAAATCTCCGGGAGGAACGCAGATATCTTTGACTACAGTCACCAAAGACCTTCCGCTCCTCCGTGCGCTTATTCGCTCAGACGTTTTTCTTAATTACACGATAATTATTACGAATTTTGCAAAATGGTATATGTATAACTTTTCTTCTCAGCTCGGTCCAATCTACCATAATTTTTGGAATGGTCACAAACGAATTTAACACACTGTACATAATTATTTAAGTGTAATTATACAGGGTGTACGAAAAAGGTTGGAACCCTTGAATATTTCGGAAAATATAAGGTTTTTTCAAAAATGTGTCGTACATAAGTTTTATGGTTTCGAAACGGCTATAAGATGGTACCATTGGTTTGACCTCGCATAGTCGTTTTGAAGGTCACCATTAAGTTCTTAAATTAGACACCCTATTTTTTATTACATATTCTTATAGCTTACTCCGAGAGCTTTCCAAAACGCTATAATAAAGTATTTTTTTTATTAAGAACATCTTGAGTTATTAAGGTTTGAAAGTTCCAATATTTTGACATAAATTAAAAATATCTTGTAAAATATTCATTTTTTATCATCTTACCTTAATACTTTTTTGAACAGAATAATGAAACAAATCAACCGGTGTAAAGAAAACACACAATTGTTAAAAAAAATTTTTATTATTTGTTATAAAATTATGTGTTTTCTTTACACCGGTTGATTTGTCTCATTCCGAAACATTTATTAAAATGTAGTCAGTTGTATGGGAAAAATGCAATTTACACAAATAGATAGTTTCGCTCTTTAATTTCACAATTGCAACTTTCCCCTGTGTAAGTGTAACTCTTGATTGATAGATTATATAATTTTATTGTATACAGGGTGTCGGATTCGATTTGGACGACTCCAAAGATTATAGTAGATTGGGTCAAGCTGAGAAGAAAAGTTATATACCATTTTACAAAATCCGTAATTATTATCGCGTAATTAAGAAAAACGTCTGAGCCAATAAGTGCACGGAGGAGCTGAAGGCCGGACTCGGCAGACATGCTAAATGGTGTATTATTCTCCTACCACCAGAAAAACTTTTTCGGCGCGTTGTCATATGTCGCGCGTTCGTTCGCTGCGCGCCGTTCGCCCGCTCACCGCTCCCCGCTCGCCGCCGTCACTCATCGATCGATGCGTGACTCCACCTCTCGCTATCGGATCTTGAGAGATGTCAACAAATACACCATTTTGCATGTCTGCCGAGTCCGGCCTTCCGCTCCTCCGTGCA